AAATTACAAAGAATTGGCTAGCAGAATGATCGGTGTGAAATCTTTGGAAGTTATATAATTTAGTACCAAATAAATTTAATTTAATTGTGCAAGAATCGTCCCATACATTATATTCAAGACATTAATGTTAGTAGGTCAGGCAGGGTTAGACTTCAACAACAAAAAATATTCATAATTCGTTTTAGGTACTCAGCATTGTACATAGTTTGTAATTTATTTAATAAGATTTCAGAAAATAATGAACTTACTGAATTATTTATTCTACAGCATAAGGTACAACAAAATTTTGACAATAAAGTTGATTTGCATCTTGTTGTATCTTGTATTGTACATGGAAATGAAATTAGCTTACTTAATAGAGTACCGTGTGCCCCCTCACCCCTTATCTTTTTTCCTTCCCTTTTTTGAGAGGGGTGGCTAACCCTCGTTGCACCCTTCCCCGTTTATCCGCCCCTGGTCATTCAGTGTAATCTGATATTTTGGAATGAGTTTAGGGTGGACGTAATTAAGGTATACTGTTGACATGTTTTCACTGGTGTCATTCAGTCAATCATAATTCATGCGAGTGATCGTGCTTCCCTTCTAAAGATAATTCGTCAGCGTTCAACATCACATGATAGTAGAATTGTACTGTTTGTCTGTAGTTTGAAATCAGAATGCGTTCATCATTGCCATGGTAACGAGCTATATCTTTCCTAGTCACTTCAGTTGGACAAAAACGGTATATATTCTGGGTAATATTTGTATAGTGTCGAGTATCTGTATTTGCCATCATTGTTGCTGTAATTGAATTAAACATAAAAGAAACGTTTATAAATGTTTGAATCAAACATTTTTGATTCGGTTACTTCATAGAGGAAATTTAAACTATTATTGTTAATACTAGTATTCATTAGGCATAATTCTCAATACTTATACATTATTAAGAAACACCTTACAATTAGTAAGTACATTATTATGTTGTCGGGCATAATCCTTATAACGTAATATGTGGTTACCTGGGACGACTATGACCTGTTTAAACACCTGTTTGATGCTGGCAGATATCAACTGATAGCCGAATGCTGATTCATTATAAGGGGATCGATGAGAAGGCTCAAATGCTGCCACAACGTTCAACTTAATTCTCTTATCATTCGCTACCTTCCTATCAAACTCTAGCACCTAAAATTACAAGAAACATTTTATAGGCAAACTAAATGATAATGCATAACAGAATAACAGAATAGGACCATGGTTTTACAATATGCCTACCAAATAATATGGATTTAAGAGTATGCTATCATAGCAATTTAATGCCAACAACATATATAATGCCAACAACAACAACAATTCAAACAATGTATATAATATGGATTTAAGAGTAAGCTATCATAGCAA